TGTGACAACCACAACTGAACATATTAAAGATATGATATTGGTAGGTAATATTGAATAAAAGGAGGAAAATAAACAGTTTAGCAACAATTTAGGGAATTTAGGAATTAGCAATTTAGGAAAATAGACATAATTTGGGTACTCATTTGATTAGATAGATACTGTATGTGTCCAATTGGTAGCCTATGTGATAATTGAAAAGAAAAACAAACATAGCTTCACTGCTGTAAATATAACCAATTAATAATTTACGTCCACGTGCTTATTAAACATTTTCATTATCAAGTCTCCGAGGCAAAGCAGGCAATAGTTATGACGGTATTATTATTTTTTATATTTTACGAGTAACCTCAGTCTAGTATTTTTTTTCTGATCAAGCTGCTGTTCCATATTTCACCAGTAGGTGACGCTAAAACGTTACTGTGATTTGCTAAGCGCCACAAACCCAACAAAAGAAGATGACTAATAATACCTAGTTATGCTTTTTATTTGACCTCAGCACTTTTTTACCCAATGAGGACCAGATTTTTTTAGGTTTTATCCACAGACTGGTCAGTTTAAATAGATTCAGAGCATTTTTAAACAGAGGACTGTTGTCAGCACTTTGGCTATTAATTATATGAAAAGTAAAAACCACATATTATTAGCAGATGAATATTCTGCTTGTATATTTATTAAGCTTCAGTCCTTCTTAAGATCATGTTTGTTTTATTATTTAGTGGTGTTAGTTAATCATACAGGGATTTATATTCAAACTAACTTACAAAACTGTACAATACAATACAGTTTATATTTGTTTCAAACATTATGAACACAACATAACACTCCTGGCATGAAAGACCATTTGAACTTCATCAGGGTCATTATCAGACCAGTTATTTCTTTATTATGTCTCCTTTTCTGCTCTGTTTGATACCAGGACACAGTTTTAAAGATTGTTGCTGAYTGCACACAAGATGTTAGAGTTTTCACTGTTCATAATCAATCTGACCTCCATCAAGCAGTCACAGTGTGACTGAAGAGTCAATGTCCTGAGCATGTGAAAAGAGGGAAGGCCACTTTTAAGCCCTGAATTTTGACCCTGTGTCAAGTAAAAGCAAAACTGGTTTATTGATTTAATAAGTTCGCCTCATTTGAACAGTTAGCACAGAAATTTGACATCCATAAGTCACAATTCTTCAGGTATTCTCTGGATGTTTTCCTCTACGCCCCCCAACTTCTCCTATAGATGAGATTCTGATGTGTAAGTCTG